CAAAACCCGGTCGGGTATGGACTTTACCCGGCCGGGTATGAAGTGACAAAGGAAACTGCTGCAAAACTAGCAAATACCCGGTCGGGTATTCCATATACCCGGTCGGGTATTCTGTGATTTCGGACCAAAGAACGTGCAGAAGACACAAAAACATGGGGAAATATTTGATTTGGTAAATACCCGGTCGGGTATGTCAAAATACCCGGCCGGGTATCCGGCATTAGGTGTTGAAAACACCTATAAATAGCCCCATTTTCCTTCACATTTCATCATCCCTTCTTCCATTCTCTTTAGCTCAGTTTAGAATAGCATTTCTTTATATTTTTCTAGCTATGTTTAGCCTCCAAATGAGGAGCTAAACTTCCATTCTTGGTTTTGCTCTTGAAGCTTGTTGATTATTAAAGTTGTGAGTTATTTTCTTAACTTCTTCTCTTGATTATTAATTCTTCCCTTAATCTCATTCTATATTAATGTTGGAGGGTTGCTAAGTGACGATTAGTTAACGTTCCGACATTAATTACTACTAGAAACAATCAACGAACTGATGGTTAATCGTTGGTGGTTTCACAAGTAAGTAACTTCGGTCTATTAATGCACGGTCGTGGTTAATAGACTTAAGAGGGATCAATTTTGTTGGTTAAACCGAAACCGTTGTGTTAAGGTTATCAATCTCAATTGATTTCATCAAGGAGTTAGAAAGATTGAATGCTACTATTATATCGGTATAAGGCGTTGTTCTATATTTGATTAATAGTAAGGGTTATTAATGAACGGTCGTTGTTAATAACTACCCTCGATGAATTGGAGATACTCCTCGATTGAGTATTCGAGAGAGGATAAGTTATGGATACAACAAGGATCGACTAAAATATATCAACAAGTGGAAAGTAGCAAAGCCAAGTCCCTTTTATTCTTGAATTAAACACATATAGGTTGTTCATCTTAGTTTTTAATTAAATTAAATCACTCAAAACCAACCCCCCCCCCCCCCCTTTATTACTAGTTTCATAGAAAGAGAATTATACCTTTCCCTGTGGATACGAACTCTACTACACTATACTACGTATAAGTGTTTAGTATTGAATTTATTTTGACGCACTCACGACAAGTGCTCGTCACCCATCTTCCTCAGAGCTTCTTTAACTTCCGTTGTTTGGATCCTTCTCACAAAATCACGGTTTACCATACAATCTGGTATGGACAAATCACCGATATCTTGCGTTTTGTTCCCGTTGAATAGTGTATCAAAGTATGACCTCCACCTCTCTTTTATCTCTCCGTCGTCCATTAATATCCTCTGATCAACATCCTTCACACACTTAACTTTTGCAATATCTTGAGTTCTGCGATCACGAAGACGAGCAAGTCTATAAATATCTAGTTCTCCTTCCTTAGAGTCCAACTTTTCATACAACTCCTTGTTCACTTTCCCTCGTGCTTCCCTTACGGATTTCTTTGCTTGTCTTTTAGCCTCCCTGTATGTTTCTATGTTCTCATCACTCCAATTTGTCCCCAACTTTTTGTAGCAATCTCTTTTGTTCCTTATGGCTTGTTTCACCTCATCATTCCACCAAGATGTGTCCTTTTTAGGTGGCCGACATCCTTTAGATTCCCCAAGTACCTCCTTTGCCACTTTGTTAATGGTCAACTCCATTGATAACCACACATCATCCACCTGTGTTTCATTATCAATACGCCATACATCTTCACCGACCATTTTGTGTGTAAAGCTTTGTTGAAGATCTCCCTCTAGCGTCCACCACTTTATCTTTGGTTCCACTTGTTGTTTAACTTGTCTTCCATGGTTCTTACCTCGAAAGTCAAGCACAAGCATCCTATGCTGAGTGACAACACTCTCACCTGGAATAACCTTACAATCAGTGTAGCTAGTTCTCCCAGTGGTCCGTACTAAGAAGTAGTCAATTTGGGTACTATTAGCTCCACTTTTATAGGTTACAAGGTGAGAGTCTCTTTTCTTAAACCAAGTGTTCATTATAGCCAACTCATACGTCAAGGCAAAATCCAAAATGTTCTTTCCCGCCTCATTCCTAGTGCCAAAACCATGTCCGCCATGAATATTCTCAAAGCCATCACGACTCGAGCCCACATGCCCGTTGAGGTCACCTCCTATGATCAACTTCTCTCCCCTTGGCACTCGTCGCACCACGTCTTCAAGATCTTCCCAGAACTGTTGAGTTGTAGATGCATCCAATCCCACTTGTGGTGCATAGGCACTTACCACAGACACAATCTCACCTCTTATCACCAATTTAACGATCATGATGCGATCGTTCTTCCTGAAGACTTCTACCACATCCTCAACATAGTCACGCGCCACAATAATGCCTACCCCATTTCTAGTCTTATCTCTCCCCGAATACCACAACTTAAAACCTCCGGGATTAATCTCGCGTGCTCTCTCTCCAACCCATTTAGTTTCTTGCACACACATAATGCTGATATTCCTTCTGCTCATAACCTCGACTACCTCGGAAGATTTCCCTGTAAGAGACCCAACATTCCATGTCCCAAAACGCAATCTAGCATTCCACCTTCTGTTCTTAGCCCTATCTCGGACCCCACCATGCCCTTGCATATTTGACATCATCCCCGGGCAATGGGATGACGCGCCGCTTCTGGGCGGCGACCTAGCAACCTTAGCATTCTTATCACCACACCCAGGTCTATCAAGTGTAGCGCGCCCTTGCATATTTGACACCACCCCCAGGCAGAGGGATGACGTGTCACTTACGGGTGACGACCTAGCATTAGCGATTTTCATATTTCGATTCATGTCATGTGATGTGACTAGGTGATACTGTTGGCCGTCACACGCCTACCACAGCACCCTCCTCCTTTATCCCACCGGCTAATATTTTTTAAAATTCTATAGGGGGCTGGGTTGGGGCTGGGGTAATACTAGTCGTTCCAAACGGCTAGTAACGGCTATAAGGTCATTGGGGAGAGGTTTGGGGTGGGGGGTTACCAAAAAATTTTCCTATGTATATCTACTCATTTTAAACATTTTTTCACACTATTCTACTTCTACTCAAATTCTATATACTCTCGATTCTCAAACTCTCAATCACTAATTCTACTCTATTCATATTTACACTTTCATCTTTCATAGTTCATATATTCATATTATAATTACTTATATACTTATTAATTATTACACAATAATACTATATAAATATTTATAATTTTTATTTCTACATTCCTACTCCTACTCTTTCGATCTTTCTTGTTAAATATTATATTATAATTATATTTATATTCTCCTACACTTTCATATTTAACATATATATAATTATATACATTTGTAGTTAACTAGTTCCAAATTGTTGTAGTTAACTAGTTACTACATCCTACATTTTTGTATTGCAAAATAATACTATATAAATATTTATAATTTCTATTTCAACATTCCTACTCCTACTCTTTCAATCTTTCTTGTTAAATATATTATATTATAATTATATTTATATACTCCTACACTTTCATATTTAACATATATATTTAATTATATGCATTTGTAGTTAACTAGTTCCTACATTGTTGCAGTTAACTAGTTACTACTTCCTACATTTTTGACTTTTTGTATTGCAAAATAATACTATATAAATATTTATAATTTCTATTTCAACATTCCTACTACTCTTTCAATCTTTCTTGTTAAATATATTATATTATAATTACATTTATATACTCCTACACTTTCATACTTAACATATATATTTAATTATATACATTTGTAGTTAACCAGTTCCTACATTGTTGTAGTTAACTAGTTCCTACTTCCTACATTTTTGTTAATTACTTCCCATTGTATAATTAAGTAATTGTTATACATTAATATTTATATATACACACGAAATATAAACAATATATATATATAATTTAATATATATATATATATATAGGTAATTGTTATACATTAATACACACACACACAACACACAGATATATATACACACACACGAAATATAAAGAATATATATAATTTAATATAGTAGTCCGAAATATATTAAATATATAATATAATATATATAAGAAATATATATATATATATACACACACACACACACACTATAATCATTAATGGTTGAAACATATTTAGTTGCTAATATTACAAATTGTAGTTAGTATAGTAGTTGCATTTAGTAACATTTTAATAGTAGTCACAATTTTAAATTGCAGTTGTTAATATTACAAAATGTAGTTAGTATATTTTTGTAGTTGTTAGTAGTTGCATTATAAATTTTTACATTGTTACCATTAATTTCATATTAAGTGGTTTAAGTACTTAACTAGTTATTCAAGTTTTAATATTTTATTAAATTGTAGTTGTTAAAATTTTACATTGTTACATTTTTTGTTAATACTACTTGCATTGAAGTAGTTAGTCACAATTTTAGTTGTTGTTACATTTTATTCATTGTATATTTTTTTCATAGTAGTACTTCTTAAACTTTAATTCTTGTTAAATTTTAATATTTTGTAATTTGTAATTTGTATTTTTGTAACATTTTTAAGACAATGGACCGGCCTAGGAGATTCGTTGATACAGGTAATCTCCAATGCAATCGACAAAATGAGATTGCGAGAGGTCATGCTTCGGGACGGTCAGGGCGATCGAAAAGTAAACGACAAGTAAGGGCAACATCTTCCTCCGATTTTGACGACCGATTGGATTGTAGAGATGCAATGACCGATGAGCAACTTAAAGAGCTCTTGAACCAAAACCAAGGCCAATTTTATCATCAACAAAACATCTCCACCGTTGAAGAGGAGTTGGACGACGATGATGCCGAGGAGGATGTTGGAGGAGGCGGTAATGTGGGGGATGGCGAGGAAGACCATGGCGATGAGGAGCATCACGAGGAGGAGCATGGAGGCGTCGCGGGTGGATCCGAAGCAGACAACAAACGTAAGTCTAAACTAAAATCTCCTCTTTTGGTGAAGGTCATTTTAAGGTCATGGATCCGACGGACGTTATAAAGCATTATAACGACTCTACGTGCAACTTAAAAATGAATGACACATCTAGCCAAACATTGTAAACTATTTTACATGCAAAGTGATTTGTATTTGTAAACTAGGAAATGAGCCCTTATTTCACTCTCCCCCATTAACAATCTCATATAGCTTGTGTAATACAATTGATCTACAAATTTGTTCATTCTAGCCATATCTATGTTACACTGGTCTTTTGCTACAAAGATTCTGCACCTGGTTTATCTAAAATTGACTCCGAATCATCCCCAGCATCAATTTTATCTCCCAAAATGTATTCAACAACAAGTCCAAGATTGTCCACCAATTTATGATACTTTGCGCACCCTGAACACTGTAAAGTAAAGTATTATCGGCAATAACGGACAGATATCAGTTACCCAAAAATTGGCCGGGCCAGCAATAGCACAAATAACAACAATAATAATACAATCGACACAGCTCCAACACAAAACTAGAAAAATCTGTTGCTTTAGGATGGATCAAGATATACAAAGCAACAATATTAGGGTTGGACTCGGGTCCGGGCCGGGTCCGGGGCGGGCCTAGGCCCGGGCGAGCCAGCGGGTCAGAAATGGTGGACCCGGGACCGGCCCGGGTAACCACCGGGTCCGGTCCCGGTCCGGGCCGGGCCGGGTCCATTATAATTTTTTTTTTTTGTTTTCCTCTTCCTAAGTAACCCCCCTCCCACCCCAACCCCCAAACCACCCCAAATGGCCCAAAATACCCAGCCCAACCCAAAACTTTAAAAAAAATTGCAAAACAAAAAAAAAAATTGTTTTTGGCCCGAACCGGGCCCGGGCCCGGCCGGGTCGGGCCTTGTTTTGGGTGACCCGAGCCCAGACCGAAAAACCCACGGGCCGGGCCTACCCGGACCGGTCACTGACCGGGCCACCGGGTCAGGCCGGGCCGGAACAGTACCGGTCCCGGGCCGGTTCCGGGTCGGGCCACCCGGCCCGAGTCCATACCTAAACAATATGATTGACTTTTGTTCTTACCTTTTTTTTCATATTTAATAGGGTTTTCAGTCCAACTCAGGGCAAGTGTGGGAGTAATTTGGAGAGAAATAGGATATACTTGGTGTCTTGGAGCATTTATGTTAAGCATGGGACCGGTTCACTTCTAGCTAAAAAAACTTAGAACTGTTTTAAAATGTGATTTTTAATATTGGTTCGGTTTCTTTAAAAAAATCAGAACTCTTTTAGAACCAAACAAAACTTGAATGGTTCGGTTCTTAAAAGTAGTGTACTTTTACAAATAGAATTGCACGAGTAGGACTAAAATCCAAATCTTTCACAAATAGGACTAAACATTAATTTTTTACACTTAATACCCCTAATCTAATTAATTAATTGCCCCGCTAGTTCCCTTGGGCAACCGGGGCAGTCTGGCGGCGACCGGCGGTGGTGGCAGACATGGCAGGAGGCTGGTGGCGGTGGCTGGGCTGGGCAGTCCAAAAAGCTACAGGTGTATAGTTGTCCAAGCACACACGATTAGTCTTATTTAGGGAATTTAAAACAATGTAGGATGTTTTTAATTGGACTGAAATTTATTGGTCTGGTCCAGTAAATGTCTGATCTCTAACTATCCAAGTTGGATTGGTCAAGTATATCTGGTCTGTTCTAAGACTGAAAACATACCAAGTAAAAACATACTTAGTCCTACTTTTATGATTAATAGGCATGTTTTACTGTAATTCACTCAACTCTCAAGTTCAAATCATTATAAATACAGATTTTGTCAAGCTTAGACATTACATAGCAAAACATACAAAAGTTCAAACATAAGTTAAACATCCAAGAAAGAGAAACCACCTCTCAATTGAATTATTAAACCCATTCCAAATGGAAGAAACACTAAATACCTCCAAACGATGAAATTGAACTAACCGAGCCAAAGATAAAACAGGGAAGAAATAAAAAAAACAATCAGGTAAGGAGCATGAAGCATATGAAATTGAACTTGACCTAGTTAAATTTTGATTGATTTTGCAGGACTATGTCATCATTCTTGGTAGCAAAAGTATGTAAGTCACATGTCTAATTTATGTAGGGCAGAAGAAAAAATGAGTGGTCCAAGGTGTTAGGAGAATGCAGAACCCAAAGAACTCACTGTGAAGCAAAACAGAAATAAGCTGAAAAAGGAACACACAACAGTGGCCAGAACGGATTGTCATGGTGAACGACCCTGTAGCACACCGTTTTACGCTCAGCAGAAGGCAACCTCTCAGCTTCCAGAGGAAAAAAAGACCGCCAGAAATACAACAACATCCAAGCCTTTTTCCCAAAAGATTTTGAGTTCGACCGTCGGCTAACATGAATCAATCCGTTCTGGCCAGAAATAACCGCTGTAAAAAAGCCATGTTGCAGGAATTCTCCGGAAGATATAAATCTTCTCACAAAAGTCAGAGACTTCATTTCTCCCTCATAGTCAGAAATCCAAGTTGTTATCTTCTCATCGACAAAACACTAGATTGTGAATTTAGAGCACAAATAATGAAATAATTCATTGATTTTGTTTTTAATTAGATTAAACCTATGTTCATAGTATATCAAATGTTATTTACGGATTTGCAATGGATTCCAAGTTGAGTTTTAATTTTTTTTTCACTTATTTCATACAATTACGAGTAGCTAAAGCCTTCATAAGTTCATAAGGGCTTAGGTTGGGATTCTGGGATTCTTTGTGGGGAGTTCTTAAGGGTTGAAATTAAGTAGAGGATTTTTCTACCAAAACCGCAGCAATACTTGTGAGATGAGATTAAATTCATTCACGAGTAGAATGTGAAACTCACCGCTTCACTTGTGAAACCATAAAACTAATTCCAGTCTCGTGTATAATGAGTACCAAGGGATAGGGGATGTTAAGGGAATGAATACGCATGGCCTTTCACAAAATCAGAGAATGGAGTGTTTGGGCGCGGGTTTATATTGTCGGAAGTCCTACACCAAACTAGGGAGATGTTTTTTTACAATTTGCAGTGGAGCTCATGTCTGTGAGAATTTAAGTCACAATTATTGAAAATTTGAAATCAGTTGAGAACTCCCATGTAATAATAGACATGAGGATACCTTTACTAATTGAATATTTAGATTTACTTCCCATCTGCAGTTTTGTTTTATTATTTCTGTTTTTTTTACTGAAAAGCTTGAACTGTTCCTTTGATTAACCAGGTCTTCTCCCCGTCACTTGTTTGAGGTAGGATATTTCAGTTGGTAATTATTCACCGCTTTTATCAATGATCGTTTTGTATTCAAGTTACCTGGAGATAGACAAGTCCTCTTTCATAAGCTAAGCGGTTTATGAACCTTTGAGATTGAGCACCACATGGGTTGCATGTAAAAGTGGCCAAAAGCTTTCTCCTTGGAAGCTTCAAGTCAATGTCCATTTCCTAGTACATGTGGGCAATCATGGTATTTGGGCATCAAGCTTATAGTCATTATAAATAATAATAATAATAATAGGTATGAAATAAATTTAATATTGAGTTGATACCATACATACTGCACTGACATTTAACAAAGGGGAAAAGATAGAACACATAGAGATGGCATGCATACGAAATGAAACTGAGAAATAGTAAACCTCGTTTGTATGTTTAAGGATGTTTTGACTTGAACTGAAATTTAATGGTCTGGTCTGATCTGTTTAAGTCAAGTCTGGTAAATGTCTGGTCACTGTGTATTTTATAATTATGAAATTCTATTCTGGTCTGTTTAAGTATAGTCTGGTCTGGGACTGAAAACAGTCCAGGTAAAACATCCTAAAACACATTTCATGACTTATTCCACCAATTGAATTCAACTGGTCATCTTTTTTCCATTTGTTTATGATGGATACTAACCTTATATCCCTCCTTTTGCTAGAAAAAAAAAACCTTATATCCCTCTTGTGACAACCAATTCTACATACTAACATAATTGAAATTTTAAACCACCATATTTCAACAGTAAACGTTAAGAATGCAAACAAATCCCAAAAGAGTAAGAGCCTGTTTGGTAACTGTTGGTAAAAAAATGGACGCTCGTAGGCTCTTAAGAAAGTTACAATAGACACTCAAACAAGAATCAAGAAAGTACGAAAATGGAAAGTGCTCAAGAGAAGTTTAGTTGCCCGAAATAGTTGGTCTCAATTTGCATTACAACTTGCTTTTTATAGGTGTTCACAAATGGTAATCGCGACCACCAATTATGACTAATTAATTACAACATTAATACATAATTAAATATGAAATACATAATTAAACTATGCATTAATGTCTGAACGTTACTCTTCCTGGCTAGCGGGTGGGTCTGGACTTCTGATTGGGCCGGTCGGCAGGCTCCCAGATTGGATTGCTCCCGGCTAGGCCGGTGGGCAGGCTCCCAGATTGGACCGATAGGACTGATAGACAGGCTCTCTGTTGGGCTAGAGGCGGCTCCCCACTGGGCTGGAAGGCAAGCTTTTGGTTGGGCTGGTAGACAGGCTCCCCGTTGGGTTGGAGGCAGGCTCCCTGCTGGGCTGGAAAGCAGGCTTCTGATGTGGCAGACAGATAGGCCGTCTTGGGCCTCCGCTCGACTGGACTTCCGCTCTATTGGACTTCTCTTCCTTTATGGGCTTGATTGGTTGGGTCGGCTTGAGATTTGGTTGTTAGGCCCACTCGTCGAGGGCCTGGACTCGCGGGTCCAAATTTGTGGATTGGACCGGTTAGACTCTGGGCCAAGTCCCATAACCCAATGAGTAACCCCTACTATCGACGTATCAATCAACTTGGTAGCAGTCAATCCATGAAATTTTCAACGTGTTTTTCACTCTACGTCATCCGGAAACAGTCTCTCCCTACTTTAGTATAGGGGTGAGACTGCGTACATCTGACCCTCTTACCCCATCGTAGTTGCGAGCCTATGCGGCACTGGAAAAATGATGATGATGAACTAAAGAGCCTGTTTTGGTAACATTGAAATTGACTGAATTGGCTGATTCAACTGAAATTTATGAAGTTCTAGTTGTGGTGGCTAGATTGGACGATTCAACCGATTTATGAAAAAATTATATTTAAAATATTTTTTATTAATTTGCAAAAAAATATTAAAAAAATTAAGAAAATTTTATTTGAAAAATAGCTAAAGTGATCTTCTACTTTACTAACTTCAACCAATGCAGCAAGAAAAGTAACTCAAAAACTACTTATTTTGATTATTACACAATTTAGTGCACGAAATCAAAAGTTATGTGTTTGGTAACAAAGATGGTTGGTAAGGTTGATAAGTCGAAAAATAAGGTTACCAAACGGGCTCAAAGTGTGTGTCACTTTTCATAATTAACTGAAGAAAACTGTTTAAGCTAATATGTAATATAACTTTTATTTTATTTTATAAATAAATTTTATTTGTAATTAATTTTTTTAATAATCTAGCCAATCCTACAAATTCAACCCATCCCTGAATTTCAACGATTTATGTGGACTATGAAATAATGGGAACAGTTACTTCAATGGGAGCCATGTCAGGTATATTTATAATAGAAGAAGTGTTGTCAAAATACAAAATATTCCTAAATAGATATTAGGCATGTTATTACACCCCCTTAAGTTGCGTGAGAGATAAAATGCGCAAGTTGTCTTCTAAAAAATGAAATTGCCGAACTTTTAGTGAAAATACCAACCAAGTGAAGGTGAGTAGGAACATATTTCACAACCAAATCTTCATGAGCAATTCATTCTCATACAAAGTGATAGTCAATGTGAATGTGTTTGCTCCTAGCATGCTGAACAGGATTGGCAGTCAAATAGGAAACATAGATATTATCACAAAAAAGTTGAACAAGCACCTTAAAAAGGAATCCAAGTTCGAATAAGACAATTCTGATGTGCAAGGTATCTTGTACTGAATAGGCAATGACACGATACTCAACCTCCGTAGAAGATTTAGAAGACAATGAGCCACTTTTTGAGCTTTCACGAGATAAGGTTGGGACCCAAGAAATCATAAAACTAATGGTGGACCGAGAGTTGTCCGGGCAGCCGGCCCAATCTACGTCTGAGTAGGCCAAAATGCAAGTATGAGTAGAGGACTGAAGTCATGATCCATGATCAATAGTACCCTGTAAATATCTAAAAATGCGCTTGATTGCAATCATGTGAGTAGTACGGGGAGCATGAATAAACTGAGACTCGGGTCATGTCAAAGTTAAATATTGTAATGCACCTACCATACTGCGATACTCAGTGGCATCTGAGAGAAGCTCGTTATCAATGAGAGAAAAAGAGGTACAGGTGATAAAAGGGGTGTGTATAGACTCAATAGTATGTAAATGGAAACGAGCAAGAAGATAACCATAAAAATAGAATAAAAAAATAGAATAAACCTGTAGAAGTACGAACAATATGGACTCCCAAAAAATAGTGAAGATCACCCAAATCCTTTATTGCAAAATGAATAACAATGAGACGAATAAAGGAACCGACACTGGAGGAAGAATTACCTGTAATGATAACATACAGAGCCACCCTGAAGATAGATAAACAAAGAATTATCACACTTACTACAAACAAAATTAAGAGCAAACAAGAAATTACTAATCCTATGAAACCAAGCCCGCGGGGCCTGCTTGAATCCATAAATAGCCATACGCGGGCAACACAAATGAGTAGGAAACTGGGGATGAACAAAACCCCGCAGTTGACGCATGTACACCTCTTCGATAAGGTGACCCTGTAGAAAGGCATTTTTCACATTCAGGCATCCAGCTGACGCATAACCAACTCAAAAGAAATAGCTAAAGTAAGAACAATACGAACTGTGGTGGGTTTAATAGTGATGGTACCATGGACTCTGACCATGCCCAATTATGGAATTATAGATCAAGCCCTTAACGGGATTCAACCCTCAACGTGATCAAGCCCTTAACGGGATCAAGCCCATAACGAGATAAGCCCACAAACGAGATTAGTATTAACTAGCCGCTAGGCCTAATTAGGAATAAGACTCACGAAAGGAATCCACAACCAGGTCGGGCTGGATAGCAGACCTCGAGCCTGGGTGGGATTCTAGTGAGGTCGGAATAATCCTAGGGCTTACATGGCAGGCTATCATTCGTGTATCCAAAGGCGGTTCACCGGTTGAACGTAGATCCAAAGGCGGCTCCTGTCAAGCAGAAGAGAAGATATTTGTCCTTGGACCGAAAAGAATTCGTCAAAGGGGAAGTGAGCATGTTGTTGGGCATCAGGCATATCAGAGAAATGCAATATCCGAAGTGGCAAAGTAGTCTTGGCCCCAAAGCCACCCACCTGGAGGATGTGCGTGGATTATACAGATCTCAATAAGGCCTGCCCGATGGATCCTTTCTCTTTGCCCAGCATAGATCAACTGGTGGATCAGACCGCTGGGTGCGAGCTCCTTTCTTTCATGGACGCATTCAGAGGGTACCATCAGATCTCTATGCACCTTGATGATGCGAAGAAGACCTCATTCATCACACCAGAGGGAGTTTTTTTTGCTACCTGGTAATGGCTTTTGGCTTGAGAAACTCTAGGGCCACTTATACCCGAATGGTAGCTAAGGTCTTCCGAGCAGTGTTGGGAAGAAACATGGAGGCTTATGTTGATGATTTGATCGTGAAGAGTCAAAGAGCCAACGACCACGCGGATGATCTCAGAAAAGTAATCAGCACCATGAAAGAGGTAAATCTAAGGCTCAACCCTGAGAAGTGCACTTTTGCGGTCCAAGGTGGAAAGTTTCTGGGGTTTATGGTGACACACAGAGGCATTGAGCCGAACCTGGAAAAGGTTAAGGCAATTCTGGATATGGAGCCTCTAAGGAATGTCAAAGAGGTCCAGATCCCCACAGGGAGGCTAGCAGCCCTAGGGAGGTTCCTTTTCAAGTCAGTCGATAAATCCTTGCCGTTTTTCCAGGTGCTGAAAAAGAGCGATGGGTTTCAATGGACCCAAGAGTGCCAAGCTGCGTTCGAAGAACTCAAGAAATACCTGCAGTCATATCTGCTCCTCAGCAAACCTAAGGTCGGCAAAACATTTGTTCTATATTTGGGAGTAACCCAGAGCGCGGTCAGTTCGGTTTTAATGCGAGAAGAAGGGACGGTCCAGAGGCCGGTATATTATGTCAGCAAGGTTCTCCATGGGGCTGAGCTCAGATATCCAACCCTGGAGAAGACCGCCCTCGCAATCTATGTCGCAGCAAAAAAACTTGCCCATTACTTCCAGGCTCACCCCATCAAGGTGTTATCAGATCTGGAGGTGGGAACTCTGTTCAGAACAGCCAAGACTGCACGAGTTGTAAAATGGTCCTTGTTGATCAGTCAGTATCAGGTGAGCTTCCAGCCTAGAACCGCAATTAAAGGGCAAGCCTTAGCAGACTTCCCGGTGGAATGTACTGTCAGGGACGTGGCCGAAGAAAG